TTTTTCTCACGGATAATTAGCATGGTAATTGTGATGTGTTTAATACACTAGGTGTATTATTACCTAGTGTGAGATGTTAGAGCAACACTGATTGCTTTGCTCTCCCCTGGTCTAATTGCAGCACCTCAAGCCAGAAACCACAGGTTCACAGTTCATGCTCTAATGTGCAAGACAGGGACTGATAAATGGTCTGTTGTGCTCTGAATGTGTTGTCCTTTCTGATTTTGTATGTGAGGTTGCTGTGGAGGCGAGCTGCCTAGGATCTTTGCTGAGAAAAGCATAATTTACCTTGAACTCTCTCAGTACTGTGTGGTACTGTGACAGAGAGGGCTGCTAATGATGCAAAACCCTGCCCACAGCCTTGATCTTTACAACTTGGCTGCATGCACACACATGTGAAATGCTGCTTCAGCTGGTTTTTTAATGAGGGGAGGGAACCCAAGAATGAAGAGGGCTCACTAGCACACCCCTCTGCCAACCTGCTGCTTCGTGAGACCTGAAGGCTATTGCAGAGCGTTGGAGTTGGACACAAAACCACTTGGAGTGCATCCCTCATTCCCAGACAGGTATTTTAAAAGAACCAACTGTGTGGCTGTTTTAATACTGAGAAGTACCCTGAGATTAGCTCAGTTGGTTAGAGCACAGTGCTGATAACACCAAGTTTGATCTCCACGTGGGCTGTTCACTTGCGGGTCCATTCCAACTCAGAATATTCTGTGGTTCTGGGAAATATCCTTTAGTTAGCAGTATGTTAGTTACACTGGCACAGGGCAGCCTTTCTCAGCTCATACTGGCACTGTAATCAACCTGTTAGATGTACACAACAAATAAATCCTAATTTTCAGGTAGAATGTGGAAAAATAGGTTTTCCAAGTATCATTCCCCTGTCCCCACTTGAGATGGCTTTCAAACGGCCTCCTCAAAGATGAGATAAAAGAAACACATATATTGAGAGGACAGTAGACTCAGGTTCAGAAATCATGTCATGCAGTCATCTAATTCTGGTTCTACAGTCACCAAATTGTGTGGTTTTATCCAGTGGTAAACATCTCTCTGCAAGCTTTAGAAATGAGAGCTCTTTGAATGGAGAGTTGGAACAGCCACTGAAGCTGTTGCAGATGGAATTTGCTGCTACAATTTCAACAGATAAAATTTAGAGGAAACTTTGTTTCCTGAAAAAAATAATTTATCAAGCTAGTGAAACAAAGCCTATTTTTTTTTTTTTTAAGTCAGAACAATTCCTGGGGTTGTCAAGATATCAGGACAAGCAAACTGTGGTGTAAGAGTTGTTCATCTTTCTTCTGCCTCCCTGAAAGCTTTTCAAAGGGGCCTTAGAAAGCACAGGAGAGGAAGAGCTGGCTGTGGCAGCAGGAAGATGCCTGCCCAGCTGGGTCCCACCATCCTCCCCTAATCCCAGTGAGTCTCCAGTTCAGAGCCATCAGTTTGGGCTTGCAAACTACTCCCTTTGGTCTAGTGAAAGCCCTGTAATGACCTGATCCTTCAGAGTCACCAGGTTTGGTTGGGCTGGAAAACATGGATGGGACTCAGCTGCCATTGCTCAGCTGACCTCCTTTTGGGAAGGAGCACAGTGATGTGCTCACGCTGGTGGGACGGCCACATGTGCAAGTGCTCTGCACCATCCAATCCCTTCCAGAGGATTTATGTGGAGAAGGATGTAAGGGGACAGCAGACAGGTGCAACTTTGAATGAGGGAAAGGGAAGAAACCAGGATAATAATGTCTGTATGCCTTTCTTTTTCACACTGTGAACTTTGTGTGGGGTGTTCATCCCTAAAATAAGTCGCCAGCCTGCAGTAGCTGATGTCCACATGGAGCCAGTCCCCCAAGGCAGGACTCCAGTGTAGGCACATAAAGTAGACAGGTGAGGGGGCTGTTGGTATCAGCTCAGTAACAATCACACACAAGCTACAGCAGTTGAAATATGTGCTCTAAAGGAACATGAAATTGTAGTAATACTAGGGAGGCCTGGGATAGCCCACAGCCTTAATATCCTATCAGATATCGTTAATGCCTCCATGTTCCTTGCCAGCATGATAGGAAGGATTCCAGCTTCCATCAGTTTAGGTGGAGGTCTTATTCTCATTACCAAAACCAGATTCTTCTTTAATGATCTGTGTATTTGTTAATTTTACCCCTAATATTTTTAAATTATTTTGTTCTGTATCATATATATCAGAGAGCAAATACACCCTAGATTAGACTGCATAGACTAGACTGCAAGGTAGACAGCTGTGAATAAACTAGCTGTGTGTTGTGCAAAACATGTCTAATTCACTGTAGTTTCTTCTCTCTGCCTTGCCCCATTTTCCTCCATCTGTAAGATCCTGCAGGAAACCAATCCCGGAGACCACAGGATGAAGCCCAGAGGCAGCTCACCATGACCTTGCTGTCAGTGGTATCTTCGAGAACAACTCTAAAAGGTATTTCTACTGAGAGGTAACAGCCTGCATCAACAAAAATGATCTAACTTGTGGGGCTTCCAGGCCCCAAATGGATGGTCCCACATCCAAGCCCCTTGATACTTTATGTATGCTTGTGGTGTTGCTGCAGAAACGCTGCTCTGGGAAGGGCACAGCATTGCTTCTTCCCTTCTAGTGTCTCCTGCTGTGCTGTGCAGTCCAGCACTCACACCCTGAGCATGAAATTCAGGGAGCAGGAATGGCTGAGGGCTTGTTTATCTCCTCACATGAAGCTATGCAGATCCACAGCACAACATCAAAGCTCAGCTCTGCTCCTCTGCTACTGTGGATGTTAGGCAAGTTTGGCTACTTTGGAATGGGATAAAGAGATGTGGGAAGAAACATGCAAAGAAGTAATAAGGAAAACTGCTTTAAAGTTAGAAGCTTGAAGTTCTATATTTTTTTTCCGTTTTCTTTCTTCTTTCCCTTTCTTTTTGTTTATTTATTCTTTTTTCTTTCTTTTTCTTTCTTCTTTCCCTTTCTTTTTGTTTATCTATTCTTTTTTCTTTCTTTTTCTTTCTTTTTTTCTTTATTATTTTCCTTCTTCTTTCTTTCTTTTTTCCTTTATTTTCCTTCTTTCCTTCTTTTTTTTTGTTTGTTTTTGTGCTTCGTTTTACATTTGCCCTGTGATGTGTTCTTGAACTGGGTAATTTGCAGCAGCTTAGCAGAAATTGCTGTGACAGGCAGCACTGCAGAAAGACTGTACCTCAGACTCACCCTCCCTGGAGCAGCTGCTCAGGATGCCTGTGATACAATACTTTTCCTGTCTGAGGAGTAAAACAATAAGGCCCAGACACATTGCTTCTGGAAACGCTTGCTTATAGGCAAACTTTTTACACGTTGAATGTGCTGAAACTATAAACTAGATTTTAACTGGGTTGTGTAGATCTCGAGTGAAAAGTACTTTCAGGAATTGCAGGGAAAGCTCTTAGCCAGCTTTACCAAATAAATTTTTTATTATAAAATTTCAGAAGTGTTTATACTGCATATGTATGAAGGGTTTATATTAGAAAATTATAAATTGTATGATTGTACATTTATGAATTCTATATTAGTCATATATTGTGAACTATTTGCAATATATAGCCCATATGTATTGCATATAATGATATAAATTTTGCATTTACAAATTTCTTATGTATTTCTAAACAGTTTCTTGCATGTAGTCTCTGATTTGCTTAGCATCATTTATTAACTATTGAGTTACAGATGACTTCTCTCCAGTGTATGACTCAGCTCCTCCCAGGCCCCTTGGGAGCCTTGACCTTGTCTGTTTGCATGCCCATGAAAAGCTGTATGGCAAAGCCAAAACAGCACAGCATGGCATATGTGCCAGCTCTACTGTCCTAGTAAAAATGAGGCAAAAGAAAGAAGACATAAGTAGGCATAAGTCACTAAAGACTAGCAGGGCTCTCATTTTGCAAAGGGAAGACACTGGAAATCTCTGGTGCTGACTTATGGGCAACTGGGGAGTGAGGAGGGAAGCAAAGCAGAAACTGGGCTCCCTTTTGCTGTTAAGTGCTGATGTTAACTCCTTATCCATGCCCCTGCAAGGAAAGGAAGGTTCAGACACGTACACTTAATGAGCAAAGCAACTGAATAAATACAAAGGGGCCAAACAAGTTTGTATTTTGCATTTTTATCAGTCTTCTGAGAGGCTGTATACAGTAACCAGGGATCGACGGGGGTGTGGGGAGGGACTCGGTGCTTTGAAAAGAGGAAATTCCCCTCTCCCAGCGAAGGAAACATGCTGCGCCTCAGAAGGCTCAAGAAGCGGTTGGCAGCTGTGTGCAGGAAGAGAAAAACCTCTCATTTTGAACTTGAAAGCAAAACTTGGTTTCAAGGGAACAGTAGAGAAGTGTCACCAGCAAAGTCTACGGTTAGGGTGACCTATACAGTTCCTTTACTGAAATGTAAATACGTAGGTAAGAAAGCATGTAGAGAAAGGCCTTTCCCTGAGGTTTTCCTTTGAAGTGATAGGAGAAGCCTCCACAGATTTTGTGCATTTATGAACAGACCTTTTTAAAGTGAGGGCTGCAGGGGAAAGGTGGAACTGCAAAGGAGGGTGTTTCAATAGCTGTTTCAAAACCAGCTTTAGTGGCCTGAATGTTATGGTGTTTCTGGGTGTTTTGCTGCCCCACCCTGCTCCACGCCTATGTGAGCCACTGGGACTACTGAAAAATATATTTTCATGTCAAGTGATGCTGACTTATGCTCTTTTGTTTGCACAATAAAAAAATCTCCTTCAAACTTGAAAATGCTTTAAAACTCCAGCTTTGAAGCAAGGCTTGAGGATGCAGTGATGATCTCCTGATTTCTGTTTAGCCTTGCCTAGAACCTGTCTACTTCAGCCTGCAAAAGCACCCATGGGGGGGGGTTGCCATTGGCTCTGCAATTCCATCTGGATTTTACCTTTTTGTGCCTTTTTCAGGTGAAAGCTCACATGGTGTCTCAGTGCTGAAGTGGCAGGCAAACATGGAGTGGTTGCTGTACCACCTCGGAGCCTGAACTCGCTAGTGCAGGAAATGACTTCTTTGCAGTGCCTGCCCTGCACCACCACGGCTTCAACAAAAGGCCTGTGCAATGTCGGCAGAGCATGTAACTGGGGGAAACGTGCTCTGAGAAATGTTCTTATATATAGCAGAGAGGAAAGGAATAGAGAAGTAAGAAAAAGACTGCGCTGTGGTTTTCAGGCTGCCATTGCCCAATTGCCTTTGCACCGTGAGGTCCTCCTGCCACGTGCCCTGTGCCTTCATCAGGGGTGTGGAAGACAAGTAATGCTGATGCTTTACAGGAATAACCTCTGAGCCACACTACAGCAGCTTCATCTTCAAGATACAAAGTAAGAAAAAGGACAAATAAGTCCAGTACAGCACAGTTTCCTGCACTGCTAAGATCTGTGAGTGTTTCAGCACATGGGCTTGGGCACTACCATGGGTCTGGCCCATCGTAGCAGGAGAGATCCACCTAGACCAGGTCAGCCAGAGAGCCATTGTGAAGGGAAAGCAAACTTTAAAAGTAAATGGGATGAGTCATGTTGCCTGTTGGCATAAATGCAAAACATTTAGGAGCAGGAAGCGTCTTTGTTTTTGTGCACGGGGAATGTGCTTCAGGTCGGGTTATCACTGAGGTGCATTTCTGGCCAGCAAAATAAGGGCTTGCTCCAGCAGCAAGACCATCCCGCCTGTCAAGGAGAAGCAATTTCGTGCAGTTCAGTGTTAGGTACCCAAGTCTTTGCTTTTTGTATTTAACACTGTATTTAACAACATTGAATCTGAAACCAGAATCCTGCCACCTACTGCTCATGGAAATTCCAGATGTGTTGCGTGCACGGCGGTCTCAACCCTAAAAACCTTAAAAACCTCAAAAACCTCATCAAAGCTCTCCGGGACTGGTCAGCTCTGCACAGGCTGGAAAAAATATCTGTGAGCCATCTCAATTGCCCTACTGGGACCTTGAGCTGATGTAACGATGTCTGTGGCAGTGCTGGCTTTCTTGGAGAACAAAGTGCTGTTTCCTTTTGTGTGCTGAACAAACAAACAGTGTGTGGGAATTGGTCCCTACAGAAATACTTTTTTTTTTTTTAAATATCCAAGTAACTTTTTTTCAGAACACTGACCTGTTTATTGCTTGGGAATGCCTGTGACTGCCTTCTGAAACTCAAAAGCTGCAGAGGTGTCCATGGCAAGAATAGAAGACTATTGCAATAATACTAGGGATGGTTCTGCAGTTAAAATTAAGCACAGAAGTGTCTGAAAACTGTCAGTCTGCCTAGTGCCAGAATTCATTATGAATTTGGTTTTTAATATAGTTTAGGCTAGAAATCATCCTAATTATCTTTTCTCCTTTAATTAAATAAGAAGTCTGCCATTAGCCTCTGCTTCCCATAACTCATGTTTTGGATTGAGCTTCTCATGCCTGGGAAATGGGAGAACTGGAGAGAAACTGGGGAGAGAGACAAAGACAAGACTCTGAAGTATGTAACTTATCTTTGCCACTTATCTGTCTCCAGGTACTGGCTCAGTGAAACTTCCCACATTAACAGTGTCTTTCAGCTCTTCTGCTCCAGCTGTCAGCTGCTCACTGCTTAACCAAGAATTTGGGGGCAAATTTCTTGCTGTCTTATAAATAGTCCACATTTAAAGCCGTGGCCAGAGCATACATAGGTAGACTTTAAATCTAGGGAAGGAAGGTAAGAGAGATTTGTGGAGATGAGGGAGGTGTAGTCTTGTATATGCAAATTCTGCCTTGAAGCATTTTGATTCATGTAGTAAAATTGCTTCTAACAAAATTAACTTTATGTGGATATTGTTTGAAACAAGAATTTCAAATGTTAAGCAATGAACAATGCTACTGAAGAATCACACATACACTGAAGCTCTGCTCTAATACTTATTATTTATACTTCTGAAAACAACTTGATGCATGTATGCTAGTTTGGTTTTTAGAAATCTGAATCAGTTTAAACCCTCTGTCTTCATAAACCGCAGTGGAAAAATTAGGTATGTGTATATATTTTAAAATGTTATTAAAAATATAGACATTGAGGTTCAAAGAGTTAATTAATATTTAAATTACTATATTTTAAAAAATAATAAACAAGACTAGTTGAACAGGTTTAATAAGAGAAGAAGTCAATTTAGTTGAAAGTAGATATACAGTGATAGCAGCTCCTAAAGCCAAAATATGTGAGCTCATCTTTTGCTAGATGCATCAAGCTGATTTCTTCATTTATCACTTCTGGTTTAGGCCTAAATGTTTTGAGTAATTACATTTTTTTTTGTAGAATAAGATGAGAGGTGTGAGGATAGCAGTAGCACCAAATACAAGAGAAAATGAGTGCGACATTAAATAAAATAATTTCTTTGGTGTCTGTACTCATGCAAGAAATTTATCATCTATTCTATATATCCCAATGTTGGAATTATTTGTTACAAATAGTTGTCCAAACTTACCCAAATTATTTTCCCAGAAGTACAGTGCTTTCCCTCTTTTAAAATTCAATTAAAAACATGGCAGTGAATTTTTAATACCATTTAGAAAACTGGATGTGGGTGCAATATTCTGCCTTGATGCAGGGCCTCACATGCCACTGGCCTGGCCCAGTCAGCAGCCTCACTGCTCATTCCTGCCTGGCTCCACACCGGTGGCTCCGACGCTTGTTCCCTCCAGACCAGCAGCCTGTGATCCTCTTCAGCTCATTTTAAAAAGCCACTTCAATATTAGTTTCATCTACTGCAGGGAGTTGTGCAACCTGCCAGCCACAGGCACAAAAATCATGCATTGGTTGCAAAACTAACGCTGGAGAGTTAACATTTTTTTCACTCTTTATATATATACATATTTGTATGTATATTAAATATACACATGTGTGGACACACACATATACACGTATACTTGTTTGTGTTGACACTTCAAAGCCTTTGGGTTCTATCTGTTTTGCATTTGCCAAGGCTTTTGTTGCTGTTTTTTTCCCAGGTACCAGAGTGCCTTAATGATTTAGGGATGTAACATTTTCAATGTGCTATACGTGGGAATTGAGGCCAAGCTTCTCTCTTCATCCAGGGCAGGCTGTCACGCAGGAACCAGGAGAAGGTATATTCTGTCCCTCCCATCCTGTGGGGATCCCAGATGGCTGCTGTGTCAGCTGAAGTCACTCTCTGCTCTGTAACCTCTTCCTGAAGACTAGAGGATACAGGTTCAACAGCCGGAAGCCTTCTGGGAAACTGCTTGAGAATCAGCAGGTACCCAGGAGGTGCAAGAGGCTTTTCTTTGTATTTAAAGTAATACATTTAAAGTGTAAAGTTTTCTATCTTCCTCTAAATTAAAGCCACTTTCTGTTTAAACATTTACAACTCTTTCGAGCACATACCTCTGCCACATACAAATGCATTTGTCCTAGAAATCCTTGGAAATACAGAATAGTCTGTGTTTTCCATAAGCCTTCAGAAAATCAACTGTTCCAAGGGCTTAACGCTGGAGTAATTTAACAGCCGTGTTGCAAAAATGGCAAGGTAAGCAGCCCAGCAGAAGATACAGTAGCCAAAACTCTTATCTCAGGACCCATTGCTCAGAGAATTGCATCAACTTCCCCCGGTAAATAATGAGTCTTATTTATAAATTCACATACAATACAGAAAGGAAGCTTGTTGCACTATTGTGGAGATCAAAGATTCAACGTGGGTTTTTTCCTCCTTCTCCTGTTTGGAGAACTAAAGTCAGTTTGTATGTATCTGTGTCCTTCTTCTTATTGCTGAGCCCAGCACAGTTGATAGCCTTGGGTATTTTTTTAAAGCTGTTTCTAGAGATAAACATTTTGCAAAAATTCCCAGAATGCAAGTGCTCAACTTAATTTGCCCAGAGCTGTACTGTTTGTTGGCAGGCTGTTCCTTTACAGGGGGTTTTAAGTTCCAATTCGATGTATCACATATTAATACACAATGAGAAACTTTTTCTGTGGACGAGGGTGAAATCCCTGCCTTACTGAGGTCCAAAGAAACAAAACTTTTATTGATTTAGTTCAATAATATTCAGAGGCTAATCCCAAATCTCTCGCTCCTTTATTAAGAACGATTCTATCACTGAAAAAATATGAACAAAGTTATATAGCCTAATCAAAACAATCCCCAAAGTGCCTGAGCACACTAACAACAGCTTTAAAACTTGGATTGTCATTAGTTTTTCAGTGTCAGTTTGAGAGGCAGAGAGGAGATGTTTTTTGTTAGCATGCAGAACTCAGTCTGCCTTCTCTTTCAGGTTACACTTTTTGATGTGACAGACAACACACAGGTTCATCACCACCTTCTTGGCTGCAGCAGGTAATTTGCTCAGCTCCATGTGTCATGATGACAGCTACCAGACAAGAATTTTCTTCCTCTCATGCAAACAGTAGATGTATTTTCACTGGACAGGCTAGGATGTTTTGATCTAATATAATACTAGAGAGAAAGAGAAAGAGAAAGCATATGGGGTGTGCATATATATACACAAAAGTCTATGTAGTATATACACATACACACCCATTTATATATACACACACATCTATGCATAAAGGGGTTGCTTAACAGCCTATAAAAACCGCCACCTTACTATGAGTCTTATGGGTGTTTTCTTCCACAGAAGCAAAGCGCTAATCAGGAGAGGAAACAGGAGCTGAATTACCCCACCCACCTCCACAGCCCCTGCTAAAGCCATTTATCACAATGTTTCTCAACCTTCTTGAGTTGGCAGCTTTTTAGGACTTGTTTTTGCAACCTTTCGCAAAAACCTATTAAAAATGGTATAATAACAAAGTAACAATAATGCTTGTCTTAAGCACAGGTGTGGTAGGGACACATGAGAGTTCCCCAGACAGCCCTGGGCTGTCAGATCTGGCTGCCGGACAGAAAAAGATTAACTTTGACCAGAAATGTTGTAAGTATTCCAGAGCAAAACAAATTTAGGGGAGTTCATGGCCAGCACTGGGCAATGTGTTAAGGTTGTATTTCCTGAATATTGATTTCGTCAATTTAAAGTGAGTTACATTCGATGAAAGATAGGTACTGGTATCAGAATTGTCATCTTTTAATATTTATATTTAAAAAAATTAAAACCTCCATCTTATTACATCAGAAGAAATAAGAGATGGACAGAAACAGTGTGAAAATGACTGTAAGAATTTTTTTTGCCTAGTCAATGGAATTTTAGTTCATTATTTGGTCTCTAAATGCTATTGGAACAAGAACACTTCTGAGACGATTTTATTTGTCAGCCACAAACATTTTCAGGTAAAATCAAAAATAGGAGGACAAAATATGCAAGATAGATATTGAATATGCAAATATTATTAAGCAACCATACAAAATAAAGGTTAAAGGATTTAGAGTAAAATTTAATGTTTCAAGAAGTACCTGAAGATCATTAACTAAAAAAAGAGGCTAGCTATAACCTGAATTTAATTCCATAGACTTGAGTTATCTGAGGACTACTGTGATACCTGTTTTCATATGGTGTTGAGAAAGCACACAGTTATGTGTGTCCAGATGAGTTAGCTTAAATATCAGGACACCTAATAATGCCAGCAATTCGTAATATCACAGGCAGCAACTGTTAATAACCAGCTGGTTAATAACAATGCAGGGGACTCCAATGGTCACCAATTCTGAACTGTAAGTCTTGGGATATTAACTAGAGTTAATATACCAGTGGGATTTTTTAAAAATATATTTTATTAAATTAAAGGTATTTTAATATCCTGAAATACTAAATTCAGTGCCTCCAGAGGCAGAAATTCAGAACCTCCAGAGGGGTTCACTGTTTGGAGAGAGTTCCTCTGTAAAGTCAACCTGTTCTGCCAAGGCCAGACAGTACAACTGAACTCCCTGGGACTACTTAAGTAACACCAACAAGCAAGCACAAACTGTAGGACTATCCCTGGCTGTCACTTAGAGCTACTTGAGATATCAGTCCTATAGAAAACCCCAGATTCCCCTTGGATATACTCAGATTTTACAGAGTGCAGACAATACTATTCATATTGAAATTTTACTTCACCAGCTACTTATATTTCCCCTTAAGCTTAAGCAATTTTTACTGCTAAGTGTGCGTCCTGAGGAGACTTCAGAACCATAACTTACACCTGATGAAATTTTTCCTGGCCCTTGTTGGAGAAGAGTGAAATGATCCCATTTTTGGTTATCGTGTTGTTTTCCACCATTCTCCTGAGTCTTGTCATAGCTAACACTCACTTCCCACTGCTTTTTGAATGGCTTCCTCCCAAACCCCTGCCCCGTTCTCTGCCTTCAGCTGAAGAGCATTTTGGAGACAGGAATCAGAGAAGGAAAGGTGTTTTTCTCCTCTGGAAGAGTCATTGTCTCTGAAAGTGTCTCTGGATGTGGCACTTGGGGATACAGTTTAGGGGGATTATTGTGGTGCTGGGGTGATAGTTGGACTAGAGGATCTTGAAGGTCTTGTCCAACCCTGATGATTCTGTTATTCTCATTAAAATGAAAGCCTAGAGAATTATTTTCTCAGTTTTATGTTGTGAGATTGAGATGTTTTATGTAGATATAGGCAAACTTCAGACACTGGAAACCTAACTTTTAGCAGTGCACAGGTAATATCATTTTGATGGTCATGGTCCTGACTGGATTTCCTATTTGTCCCATTTATTAGTTGTCCTGTGGTGGTCCCATAAATATTTCTGAAATAATCTCTCAAGTGTATACCAATTATCACTGGTAGAATTGCAATAAACAGTTCTTAATGGCCCAGTAGGTTTCTAATCCAGGTTCAGTAAGCAATTCCAAACCAAAACCATTTCTCTGAAAGCAAGTTTATTCTCTAAATGAGATCTCAACTGAAAACCTTCATGTTTAAGCATATTAATTGTAGGATTCTTCTGCCAACAAAATGAAGCAGGCTCACTCCAAGGAATAGTTACTGTAATTTAGACAACTACTGAAAACAGTTTTTAACATAATGGTTGTAAACTGTGCAATAGTAATATAGTAAAAATCTTAGCTGGAACCAAAATATACATTATCTGAAGTCAGAAATTAAGCTTCACTTGCATTCTTTTGCATAGTAAATTATCAAGTGTCTCTTAGATAAAGCTGATTGCCTTAACTAAAGAACAAATTTATTCTGGCTGCATTTATTAAAATCTATATTTACACATGATTCCTGTTTGACTGAGCAACTTTTAATCTCATTTAAATGTCTCTTACTGCATCACATAGTGAAAAATACAATGAATGTATGAGAAAATATAACTGGACCTCTTTGGTATAAAAATAGGAGAGATACAAAATAAATTTTTTTAAAATTTGCTTGTGAAAATGAAAAATTTTGAGGCCAAAATAGACAGAATAAATAGTAAAATATATATATTTTTAATAATTCACACATGAATGCCCATTTCCTGCAATCACTTAGGGGAAAAAAAGCTTGCCATACTTACTCTTAATTCAAACATTATAGCTACAAAATTAAACCCCCAAACAAACAAACAAACAAACAGCAACAAATTGTTGGTTGGTTGGTGTTTCTTTTTATGTGGGATTTTTGCTGTGTCTGCGTGGCACTGCCAGTTTTCTGTATGGGACAATGGTGGTCTTGTCTTTAGGGAATTTTCCTTCGTTTAGAAAGCTTTATTAGAACAGAGTATCACTTGTCAGCCTGTACCCAAATTCAGACAATTTGGGACGTCCATAATGATTGTGCAAACACAAACACGACTGTATTTCACACTTAAAACACTTCATTTTTAAGATCCCAACACTGGAAACAACTTATTTGAACACTAAACCTCACTGTTAAGGACAATGTGTTAATTTTTTCACAACCCATTTTTCATCTGCCCGCTCAAATATTGCTTAGACTTCCTGATTTCAAAATCTGGCCAGGAACTCGAATGGCCTTTCTGAGAAGGTTGCCTCAAAAGGACAAGGGTAACCACATGCTGCTGCTTTTTAGTCCTTTTTTATTTCTCTTCCGGAGAGAGAGGGGCTGGTTTTACTGCATTTTTACCGTGTTTTGGGTTTGTTGGGCGCTGCAGGTGCAGGGCTGCAGGGAGCACAGCCTGGTCTCCGGTCAGTGTGGGAGCACTCGCGGTCTCGCCACCTCAAAAGCCGCCTCCGTTCCCCCCTCCCCCCCTTTTCTTCTTTTGGAGAGACTGGGGATATTTTTACTGTCTTTTTACATCATTTTTACCACATTCTGCCTTTGTTTAGTGCTGGAAGTGCAGTGCTGGAGGTAGCACAGCCTGTTGTTCGGTCGGTGTAGGAACACCGGCGGTCTCGCCGCCTCCGCTTCCTCCCCACTTTTTTATTTTTCTTTTTGAGAGAGAGAAGTATGTTTACTGCCTTTTTACTACATTCTGGTGTTGTTGAATGCTGGAGGCGCAGGGCTGGAGGGAGCACAGGTTGCTGTTCGGCCAGTGCAGGAGCACTCGCGGTGCCGGAGGCGGCTCTGGAGGCGGCGAGACCGCGAGTGCTCCGTAAACAAAACGGGGGTTTTGTTTACCACCCTGCGGCGGGGCCTGTGTGGCGCAGGCGGCTTGAGCCTGCCCCACCGCCACGACTACGACAGCGACAACGACCTTCCCTCCCGGCCATCCTGCCCCGCCGCCGTGAGGGGAGGCGGGAGGGGCGGGGAAGGCCGCTCGCACTCCCCTCGCCACCCTCAGTCGGGCGGGGCCGGGGCGCGCGCCCCACGGCGGCGGGGGGCCGGCCCGCGCCATCGTGCGCGGCCAATGGCGTGCGGCCACCCCGCGATTCAAAACGGCGCCTCGCGCCAATGGGCGCGGTTGGCGGGCGGGCGAGGGGCGGGGCCCGTGCGCGCGGCCGTAACCGTCGCTCGGTGGGGGGCGGTTGTTCCCTCAGCGCAGCGGGCGCGGCGCGTCGGCCGCGCCGCTCCGGCCCGCTCCGCGGATCCGCCTCCGGCACGGCACGGCCCGGCCCGGCCCGCGCGCGGCTCCAGGTAACGGGGGGCGCCACGCGCGGGCCGGGATAACGCCCCCCGCTCCCAAACCCTTCGCCCACGGGCTTTCCCTCTGCGCCTTCCCCGTGGCGGGGGAGCGCTCCCGCCGATCGCCGCCGCGCTCGGCTTCTCTCGCGGCGGAGCGGCGCGAGCCGCTAGTTCGGGCCCCGGGGTTGGCGGGCCGGGCGCCTCCGCTTTGTCGCCGCCCGCCGCGCCGGGCCCTGCGCCGGGATAGGCCGCCGAGGGGCGGTGCGGCCCTCCCTTCCCCCGGCGGCGGAGGCCCCGCGCCAGGCCCGGGCCGGGAGCGCGGGCGGGGCGGGGCCGGGGGGCTGGGCCTTGCCCGGCACGTGGGTCCCTTCCTGTCAACAGCGCCCCGCCGCCGCCGCCCGGGCCCTGCGCGGGGAGTGCGAGCTTCTGCCGCGTCCCCGCCGCTCGCCGTGCTTCCGCTGGAGAGCCTCTTTAAAGGGGAAATCCCTCGTTTCCCAGGCCCAGGGTTGATGGGTTGTTATTTTTGCTTTGAGGCTGATGTGTGCTTGTTTGGAGTGGTGGCGCTGATTTGGCTTGGACAGGGGGAGGTCCCTCCACCGTCTGGAGGTGAAGAGCTGGAAATGTGGAGAGTTTAGTGGTGATGCTGAAAAGGTCCTGCACAGCTCAGTCTCTGGTGAATTCAGTAGCAACTTTCCGTGTAGGCTGTCTTGTTAGCCTCGACTATCGGTGTTCTCTTCTGCATTTCTTCTTGCATTCAAATGGCTTCTTCCTCTGATTTAGAGAACGTTATCTAGCAGTGCTGAGGTCTCAGAACTTCTAAGTGGAACCACTTAATATGTGTGAACTCTGATCTTCGAAGAGGGAAAGCTTGTTTAGTGTTTATTTATGTATTCTTAAAACTGGGTACCCAACCTCTGATGATGGGGTATGATCTTCCAGTGGCTGCAAGCTGGCAGTCTTCTTTTCTCCACGGTGAAATATCTTTCCACATCTCTAGTGAGAGCTATTAAGAGAGACCAGAAATGGATGCATGGGGTAATATGTTTCTCAGCCATGTTTCTCTTTACTTATTTCATTCTTGGTTGACTCAGCAGTAACTTTTCTTCTTGGCTAACTTTTAACCTCCAGGGAGTTTTGTGTTAATTATCTTGCTTGGTATAGGATACAAAATCTTTTTTTTCCATTCCCTTTGAGTCTGGGTTTCTAAAGGAAAATAATAATGGTGCAGAAAACACAAATTTCATCTCATAAACAACTATAGTTGCAATCTGATGTCTGTACAGCGCAGGGTTCATCATATGCAATAATCTTCCTTGGATACATAATTTGAAGCCCTGTGAATTGAAAGTCTTGTGTAGGAGTACTGTAAACATTAGGCTGATGCCAGCTGATACCCTGAAAATTAGCAGGGGTGTGTGTAGAGCTTGAAAGAGCAGTAAATTCAAAATGTAATCTCTTAGGTGTGTTTTTTTTTAAAGACTTTCTGGCTTTACTTTTTTTGATGTCAGTAATCTTGTCTGTTATCTGAACAGATGAAGGCTGCCTTTAAACGGTGTAGCTTTTAGAAGTGGGATAGAAGGAATGAGGATTGTAAACCCCCTTCACAGGAGGAGCTGGGGTGCAGAACAAGGTGGTTACTTTTGATAGGGTAAGAAGTTATATTTACTTCTTTTAGTGTTTAATGTTTGAGCTTATCATTAAGCTTTAATATTTAAGGAAAAGAATTGCAAAATGTTTTCCCATTAATAAGATTGTCCATTACTGTTGAGTCAGAGGATAATATTTGCACTTGCTTAAAGTTATTTATTAATCAGGAATTTCATATCAGTGATATCTACATTGGGCTGAATTACATAACATTGATTTAGTTACAGGTCTTCCAACCACATTTTTCAACTTCTTAAAACTAACCAGCTCCTTTTTAGAACCAAGTTGGAGGAGGGGAAGGTCTTCCTGCCTTTCACAAGAATTAAATCATCAGGTTACCTCTTCTTTGAACTGTTTTTATGTTGGCATACAAAACTGTTGGATTTTGAAGTCTAGCAGAGAATTGCATTTCATTATCCCTATGAAATTATATCTGAATTTTGAAGTGGTTGTTAAAAATCGTAAAAATCAGTGTACATGTCCTTAATAAGAACTTTTGAAAAAATGTTTCCCTTTTGCAAAAAGGACTTAGCCTCCAAAGATTCTGTATTTCACACCTTTGTCTGAGGATCTGCCAGCTTTGTCCTGGTCAGGCTCTAAATTTACAGATGATGGCTGAGGTGCTCCAGGTCAAGAGAAGAAACCGTTGGCTGGAGTGTAGGAAGTACAACAGCAGAGAGGAAATGAAGTTATGTGTGAGGTTATGACATCTAGTGAAAGCTGGAGGACTGGTATTTAGACTATTTATGGAAGAGAAGGAAGAAGCTGTAATTGTGGGAGGCTGGGGAAAGAGCAGTAGTAGACATGGATCTGCTGAAGAACTGTCTTTTGGGTGAGAAAACTGGCCAAGGAGACATTATGGGGATTGAGATCAGACTTGAGCCAAGAGGTGGCAAAGAGGGACTGGAACTGCTTGGGTGAACAAGGGCAGAAAAGACAGGAAATCCTGAAAGAATGGGGGGATAAGGAGAGAATGAAGAATTTGAAATGAAAATATGGGAGTTGCATTTCATGGAGTCATCAGAAACAGGGCTGTGTGTTTGAGTGGGTTAAACTGACTGGGATAAAACAGCTGAAGGAGTGGGAATTCAGAAAGAATAAGACATTAACAGGAAACTGTGACAAGAAACACTAGTTAGAAGGCAGAGGAGCTGGAAGAGCATGTGCCTACAAGCATAGACTAGAATTCTGATAATTTTTCCAACTGACAAGTGTCAGTGAAATAAAATTATAAAACTTACTCTTTTTTCTCCTGCAAATGTTTTACAGCAGAGGAGGTGGCCAGATGTTTCTGTTTTGAAGCAGTTAGGAATATTAGTGGTAGAATCCATATGAGGGAGTTTTGCTGAGTTTTTCGTTTCTTTGACTTGGAGAGCTACACAGGTGTAAAAACTTAACAGCAGCATCTTTGGAAAATGACAGAATGACTGTTGATTAAAAAACCTCACTGAGCTCCATCCTCCAAGAATCTAATCTAACTTTTCCTTGCAGGTTAATTAATGTGTAATGAATGAGTATCTAGTTAAATACTTGCTTTCACCTCAGTTTGTGTGGCTTCACATCTTATTTATAGCAAACAAGTTAGAATGGATGGGGGGAGAGGGACATTTTAAGTTTCTGTGTTCACTGTACAGATGGTGCTAATACATACATTGGTATATATTTTACCTTAGACTTTTAAGGTAGCCTCACTTGATATGTGAGACCTGAGACTAGGAAATTCAGGTTAAAAGTATGTTCTGCTTTGGATATTTATTTTCAGAAGGCAATGACACAATACAGAGCATTTTACAAACAGTTATACAGGACTTTACATTTAAAACCAATTTTCTGTAAATTGTAGTTGTGGGTTTTTTTCCAGCACCAAGGGTAGTACTCACTTGCACCATGTTTTGCTAATATCAAGTAAAAACCTTATGGTGCTGAAAGGGGGATAGAATTTAGTTTTTCAGGTTACTGTGTGATTGCTCTGATACCGTACTTTGTTTTCCTATGGGCCCCTGCAAAAGGCAGTACAAGCCTTGTGCTAAATAGGTGGAAAAGAGAAAATAACTCTGCCCAGACAGGAGCCTAAATTCTGAAGTTTCATAACTTTTGAATGTTTGGCATAATAAATTGGAAAAAAAAGTGTAATGTGACAAAAAAATATAAGTGTTGAAGAGATTGGGAATGTTTAATATTTAGAAATCATCACATCTGTAATATCAGTATAACCACAGGGAAAGTGGCTTAGAGGACTGTTAAATACCATCTAATTTGCATTTCCCCCTCTAGATAAGATGAGCTGCATTATGTAATTTTGGTCAAATATGTGCTCTGCCTGGTGATGGAGGTTGTATATCATAGTTGAGTACTAGTCTAATACATTTGAACAGTTTTCCAGAATATGTATCTTCAGTCTTCACTCTATTTGGAAAACAGACAATTGCTGTTTTCTTGTCACATAACTTTTTCTCTGTTTAAAGTGGAGAGTTGTTTGAAGTTTCCTCTTTCCAACCTAAATGATACAGAAAGAGAGTAGGGGGGGAAATGAAGCCTAATGTTTAGCTGTCATGTGCACTGACTGATTTATTTCCTAGGGATACTTTTTGGAAAATGCCGAGCCGGAGGTATGCTGATGGCGAGGTGGTGATGGGCCGTTGGCCAGGAAGTGTCCTGTACTATGAAGTACAAGTGACCAGTTATGATGATGTTGCTCATCTTTATACTGTCAAGTACAAAGATGGAACTGAACTTGCACTGAAAGAAAGTGATATAAGGGTGAGTACACGTGTATGTAAGTATCACTGCTTCTAGTGGAAGATTACACCAACTTTGTGATGTAGCTAAAAGTACAACTCAGGATTGGATAGTCATTTTACAAGTTTTTATTAACTGTGTCTTCAAGGAATTGGTGTTAAATATTAGCTTTTTCCTATGGGACCTCTCAGGTAGTTAAGTTCTGAAACCCCATCTTTAAAGAGGAGTGATTGTTTGCTTTGTGTTGAAAAAAACAGTGATGTGTTTGGGGAAAAACAAGACTGATGGTTTGGGAACTCTGTAGCATGATTCTTCATGAAAAATCAGTTTGGGGTGCCTTATAAAGGCAGTAATCAGAGGGCTGATGCTAATTTGACGTTTTTCCACCTCTAAAGAGGAAAATTTGAAAACAAATGGAAGCCTGTAGTTAAGGATCACTGTAAATATAAATAGTGTGTGCCCTTTAAGCACATGCTTAAAGCATCTGCAAATAGCTTGTCCTGCTTTAGGTCCTCAAAGGCTCCTTAAGGTATTTTGCTACATTTGTGACATTTAGAAACACTTGAGAAAGGTTCATGGCATATGCATGTGAGCACATTCCTTCCTCTTTACATATCTTTATTATTTCATTTTTATTACTAATAAAGGCCTTTAAAACTCCATATTTCAGTTTTCACTTCAGTTTAAAATATGATAATGCACAAGAGAAAAAAACCCTGTTTGAATGTTCACTGTAGTTGATTTTTGTGGCCTGTTCTGAAACCTGCATGAGTTCAAAGCCGACTTATGTGTCTTTATGTGAACAGTAGTTTCACTTCTGGGTGGCAGTGTGCATGCCCAGTAACTGGCCTTTTACTTTGGAACCAAAATGTTTCAGCCTTGGGGTAATCACTGCTTCAGGACTTTGTAACCTGTTGTTACTTTCTGCTTGCAGGTTAGCAAACTCGAGCTGAGGAAAAGCCTTTTGTTGTCATGAAACATTTGTGCATTATAAAAGTCTCATTCTGGAAATGTTACATGGGAAACAGAGAAATCAAACAATACTTTTGTGGAAAACTGTTTATGAAATTAGTCATCACATCTAATTAAATGAATTAGCTGACTTGGATTTTTTTACTGTTGATTTGATCTGTGTTTCCTTAAACAGATGATGACATCTTGCTGTGTCAAATGCATTAATCAAGCTGAGTAATGGAAATATGGAAATGAGAGCAGTCTCTTAGGGCTTAAGAGACAACTATCAATTCCCTTCCTTATGCAAAGGATTGAGAGGCCTAAGGGCTTGGTGCTCACGTTGGTAGTTTACATCCATATCCTGATTTCTGTAGTTCTGTTAGGGATTGTCAGAAGCAGCTGGACCTGGGACAGGATTGTTTGGGAATTACCAGCCAAATGAGTATGCTGCAGTTGCTCTTTTTTAACAGGCTTTGTACAACATCAGTAAAGGAAATTAGAGACAAATCTACAGAGCTGTATGCCAGGGTCCTTGTTACAAAAAACCCACCTTGTTTCTAACATTGTTCTTTGGAACATAGATAAGATTTTGCTTTCTTCCCCGCTTTCCTTTAGTCTCAGTCATCATTCAAGCACAGGAAGAGCCAGTCTTCTTCAAGTTCTCCCTCCAGAAGAAGCACCAGCAGATCTCGATCCAGGTCTCCTGGTCGGCCGGGGAGAGGGAGACGTCGTTCTACTTCCCAAAGCAGAGAACATAAAGATGACAAAAAGAAAACCATTCAGGAAACCAGCTTAGCTCTACCAGCGGTATTAATTTTGTTTGTTCTTTGTGTGGGGGCTTGCTGGATTTTTTTCTAAATTCAGATTTTTGCTATTTGTGAAAGTTTGGTTTCGTATGTACTGGGTTTGTCATTGTAAAGGCCGGCTGTAGGTGATGTTCCTTGAACAACATAATTAGCTGCAAAAGTGTATCTGAGAACTACCTTTTTTTTGTCTTTGAAAATAGGGTTTCTGGCTTTCAGAGTTTGAGGAAATTCCTGAAATGTAAACTTACGTTATCAAGTTCCATTTGAATTTGCTGTGAAGTTCTCAGAATCCAAACACACACAAATTCTTTTTATCTTTTAATATTAAAGAATTGTTAGTCATGTGCTTCTACTTGTGAAATGGGGCAAAGGAAGGTAGCCTATTTTTAAGATGTTTTGATCAATACATAGCAGGGAGGTATTAGAGTTTTAAATAAAATGAGTTCTATTATCATATACAGTTCATTTACAATAGTAATGAAAAATGTGCAGCTTCTGTGTGAGAACTGTTGCAGAATTCAAGTGTGGAATATTTAAATATGACCCTGCTGATTGATACTATTGCAGAACTGTTTTCATTATGAAAATGTCCTGTAAGGATTTCAAAGTTTATCAAATATCTGATGTTTAACTGAAGTTTATTGTGTTTGTTCTTGACATTTTTGTGAAAATTAGAATGAGTGTTAGAAATGGTTCTGGTAATCTGTAAGTGAAGAATAGTAGAAGTGATGTTTCTCTATTAAGAAACAAACAGCATTTCTTCTGCCTCTTGTCCAAGACACAGTCCCTTGAACTGGAAATCTCTTCTGCTGACCTATTAAAAATAGACAGGTGTTGGTTGGGTTTCAACTAAACTAAACCAGATCAATCTAAACTAAATAGATAGGTTCAATATATTGCTACTACTGAAAGCACTCTTTGGCACAGAAATTGCTGTGGCTTTTGTTTTGCAGTGAGTGCTTTGAGCTGTATGACCCAGTGCATGGCCTGTGGACCATATGCTCATTTTAAGTAGTTTGTAGCCAGCAGCTACACTTTGGTTTTTGTACTTCTTGTACCTTTTAGGACAAAAAGGTTAAAATATCTTTTGGTTTTTTTCTGATGGCTTCTAATTGAGGAGTAGGATGGATCTTTTGGTTGTTGTACAACTGGGATGACCTGGTCCTTTTCAGCCGAGCTTGGGGTGAAATGAAACAGAGCACATGAGTTGTGTCTTCCCAGAGTTGTGTAAGCTAGGCTCATTCAAAGAATTTTTGTAAGGCAATTTATTTCTTCAACGATATTTAATGGAAAAGCAACTCAGTCCTGCAGAGCAGTGCCATATATAGGACACTGAAGTTTTCTCTGCTTGCCACTAGCATTATTGAATAGACATGTATTTTGTATTTGGCAGTTCCTAGTGATGAGTTAAAATAACTTGGAAGCTGTATTCTCTCTTAATTTCACAGTTTATTAAAAAAAAATAACTTCTCCTCTTCCTGTTTGTGAGCTGAAACTATCTGTACTTTGGATATTGAACCCACTTGTTTTCCTGTGGAGAAAACCAGAGCAGTTGCAGTTGACAAAAAAAACTAGACAGCATTCTTAATTATTCATTATACACTCACACTTAATGCAGCTTTTATTTTCAGAAAGCTAAAACTATATTTCTTCTTTGAACCAGAAGCCGAGTGAGAATAACACCAAAAGGTACAACGGTGAACCTGAAAATACAGAAAAAAATGACACATCCTGCATAATCTTGGAGGTATGAACATTGTATTTACTTGTAGTTTTATGTTGCATTCAAACTTAACTATCTCAGAAATTCATAGACAAAGGCACTGCAATAATCAAGCAGAAATAGAATGCAATCTAAAACTTTGAGGTCAAGCAAATTTGCTGTCCAGCAAACTAATTTCAGGGGAGAGGGAGATGAAGTTGGGAAGGGGAAAATACTAGAGCTGCATAACATTCATTTTTCTTGGTTTGTTTTCTTTTTTCCATTGAACCATCTCTGGTAACTTATGTTCATTCTGATGCTTTTACAATGTGAATATTTGACTGTAGAAAGTGTTTTAAATTTAGCCAAATCAGCTCTTTAGTCCCAATTGTTAGTTAATGCATAGGGTTATTGCAGAAGGGAAAGGAGGAGGGTAGGAATGCATGATCTGTACTGGAACTGCTGCTGCTATGTGAATCACAGCATAGGTGATCACAATGACTCTGGTTTTAGCAGTCCCTTCATGTGAATGCATAAACTTAAGTACTGTAAAAAAGTAGAAGACATTGTACACTGGTGTTTTATAGTGAATAATGTCTTCTGAAATATAAAATACTGGAGTAAAATAAGGTAAAATCACTGGGAATCATTTTAGTAACTTGTTTTTATTCATTAACAGCAAAAGTTAAAACCAGATGTGGAAGTAAAGCATTTTGAACAGTACAGCCTGCGTTCAAGGAAAGATGAAAAGAAGAAAGAAGAGATATATTCGGAGAAAAAGATTTTTACGGCATTAAAAACAATTGAGAAAGCACCATCAAAAACAAAGGAGCTGGAGTTTGGGGGAAGAATTGGTGTGTGTGCAAACTGTCTTTTAATATTTGAAAATTAGTACTGCTTTGTGGTTTTTTTTTACTTACTGACCATACTGTCATGTCGAGAACGGTTTTCCCAGTTTTTGGACCCTGGTTTGCAGAATTCAGAGTGGTGTGATAGTGCCTCACTTGATATGATGGCAGTCAAAGAACCATTATTACACTGGTTCTCACGCGAAATATAGTGAAGATCTTGCGCCATCTCTTGCACAGTGAGGTCTAAATATTTCTAAATTAGATTTAAGAAGTTAACTAGCAAAGGTTTTACATTTTTGAAACTTAGGTGCTTTGAAGTTGACAGTATTCTTTTTACAGTTTTTCGACCAGTTTTAAGGGGATGCAGTGAGTGTGATCCTTCAGTAGATGGATGACCTTGTGTGGAAGTGAGAAGAATGTCTCTGTACCATTACGTGACTAGGGATTGCTGCTGTCTTGCTTCAGGAATAGATAGACAACCTTTTCTTTGTTACTGAAGTTACTGAAGTTTTTTTTTCAGTGGGATTGAAACTATATTTTTTAACTTTCTATGTTTATCTTCTAATATTCCATGATGTCTGTTTACAGGGACCTTCATGCTGATGTTTCTCCTTCCTGCTACTGTATTGTACTTGCTGTTGATGTGTAAACAAGATGACCCCAGTCTTTTGAACTTCCCTCCTCTCCCAGCACTTGAAAGTCTTTGGGAGACGAGGGTGTTTGGTGTTTATCTTCTGTGGTTTTTCCTTCAAGCTCTGTTCTACTTGCTGCCAATTGGAAAGGTAGGCTGTTTGGTAGCAGCTGGGGCTTTATGGGCAACAAATCTGTACATTGGGCTGGAGGGTGGGGTGTGTTCTTAATGCAGCAAATTTAAAAGCAAATAATTAGTTTTCCATAATCTGGAATATGGCTACTGCAGATTTCTGTAAGCTTAAAAGACCACAGTTTGTCAAGAATTCGTGCATTTCAGAGTCTTTCAGTAGAAGAGGCAGAAAGCATTATATAGGCATTCAGATCAAAGCATGGATAAAACTTGATAGAATTCTAGAAGAATTTCAGGTATTTGACCTTTAAATTAACAAACTGTTTAATACTCAATTTCTTATGGCTATCCAAAGTTTTAGAATATAATCTTCACTTACAGAAAGCTATAAACCATTCTAGCCATATGTTATATCAGGCAAATGCTCCTTTGCCTTCTTTTGTGATGTTAGGGCTACTAGCAGATTCTGAAGGGACACTAAAGTAGTTTACAATAATTGGAGCAGCTCTGCTTTCTTGAGGCTAGTTAGGAAGAGGTTTATTTTTTTAAAATGTTTTTAATTGAAACTGTTCACCTTTTGATATCCAAAGTACTTTTTTTTAGAACAGTACTCAGATTTGATTGTGTCCAGCTGGTTACCTTGATTTGAATGTCTTTCTGGCAGAGATGTACTTGGTTTTCTCCCCCACCAGCGCTCTCAGAAAGTACTTTGCTGAACACTAGTATTTTACTCTTCCTAGGTTGTAGAAGGCCTGCCTCTTTCAAATGGAAAGAAACTACAGTACCGGATAAATGGTAAGCATGTTGCAGTTGCTTATTCTAGGATTAATTCCATTATGTGATTTGCAGTGCTCAGCACCACAAAATACAAATTATGAAAGATACGTACTATGGTCAAAATGTACATGTTGTAAATCTGTCATGACATAGGGTGAACCTTTTCTTAGAAGAAGATGGTTAGTAATCATCCAGAACTAACTGCCCCAGGAGCGAGACATTATGCTATACAGGGCACCTGATCTGCATTCAGTTGTGACTGGTGACTCCTGTCATATTCCTTGCTAAACAGGGAGTTATCTATCAGGAAGTGTTAGTGATGCTTATGTGACAAAGGCTGTTGTTCAGGAGGAGTGATCTGAAGAGATCTCATCCCTTGTGTCTCAGTCATCTTGGATGTCTCTGATTTACAGACTAATAAGAAGTATGTTGTAATTGATTTAAGATGTTATTCCTGCCTGTCAAAGAAGAGTTCAGAGCCCTTAATTAGAACTGATTTCACTTCCTATGAATAAGGCAAGTTTCTCATCTAGTTCAAGAGTGTGGTTTAGCATACTTCAGCAGTCCTGCTTTTTCTGACCTTAATAGGCAAGTGTACTTTGATGCTTTGAACATACTCCAGACTGCCTATTTGATTTAGTCAGTTCAAGGGCATTGTCTGGTAGTAGTGGAATCCAGATGTTAAATTAAAAAGTTGAGGTTTAACATAATCTTAAGATGGACCATTTTAAAGGCAGAATATGGCCTTTTAAAATCTTGGAAACGAGGAATTACATCCTGCAGAAGTGAGTCATGTTGAGGTTATCTCATACCTTTTATGGGACATGACCAGTGACAGGCAGTGGGCACAAACTGAAATACAGGAGGTTCCATCTGAACATCAGGAGGCACTAAACTAGATGAGCTCTGGAGGTCCCTTCTAACCTCAGCCACTGTGACCCTGTGAAAGGGTTCACAGAAGGTCCTTGCATGAGAGCAGTATAGAATTGCCTACTCATATTAGGGCATCAATCCATTCCACATGGTTTGATACTCTCAAAGGCTACAAAAGTTTTGTGTTCAAGTTTTGAGTTGATAGTTACTTAATAGTTAAGTAACTGCTATCTGTGTCAAGGTATGTATGAAAACTCAAAGATGAAAATATGGTTATCTGAGTTGTCACACTGATAAGATTTTGTAACCTGCTGTTATCAGTTAGTAGTGTCAGTGTCCATTTTTCCACTACAACCTGAAATTAGATCCTGTGTTATAAAAAATGTAGGAGTGCTCAGAGTGTTCCTCCCTCTTGTCCTTTTGAAGAGGAGCACAATAAATTTCAGGGCTTAGAGTCTCCTAGGTAAATTGCTGTGCCCCAGAAGTTTGGACTGAGAGCATGGGATGTGTAAGACATTATTGGAATATGAACAAATCTTGGAAGAAAGGAAAGTGCAGAAAACTTGGACTGGGGAGGTTCTACTAGAAAGGTATTTTTTTTATTTTGACTAATACATCTTTCTTCTACATCCTTTAGGGTTTTATGCTTTTATTTTCACTACTGCAGCTATTGGAATTTTATTGTACTTTCAGTTTGAACTTCATTATTTGTATGATCACTTCATACAGTTTGCAGTGTCAGCTGCAGCTTTTTCTTTGGCATTGAGCATTTATCTGTATGTTCGGTCCCTGAAAGCACCCGAGGAAGAACTAGCACCAAGTGGAAATTCTGGTGAGTTATTAAATGTTTTGGATAACTTCTTTCTGATTGTCTGCTACAGTTTCATTTTTATGAATTAAAGTGTAGGGTTTAGGACTTTGAATAAAATAGTTTGACTTCTGATTTCTACAAATGTAAAGATAATGTTAAAAGTTAACTGGCAAATTTTTATTCTCACTTGGATACTCTAAAATTCTTAAAATTTTAGTTGGATTTTCTATGGAATAATATCTTGGCTGGTCTAGTCCCCTGTGATGAGAGGACAGTTCTTTCCTTTCAGTTTTCAGTATTTTTTGTCTGAGAGGCTTGTGTAGTTTGCTTCATAGTGCCCCTGCCTTTTCTTGAAACAGCTGAGAATTGAAAAAAACCCTGAAAAATGTAAATATTTTATCAGTGGGAAGTCAGGTACAGAACTTAAAATTACATTGTGTTTCTAAACTTTTATTTTACACATGCTTTTAAATCTATTTAACTGAATGGAGTTTTCAAAAAAGATTTTGATTCAGTCATGAGACTGCCTTCCTAGAAAGTATCAATTATATGCATATGTTTTTGTAGGACAAAGGATAGATTGAGAAGTCCATTAGCATTGAAACTGCTTTTATAAATGTCCATAGGGTGACTAAGAAGGGATGTTTATGGACAGAACACTTACTGTATTACAATGAAGTATTCAAATACCCTTAGTTCTGTTAGTGCAGCATGTTATGTGTGTGAAGGGAAATAAATTATCATTTTTTTTTCTTCAAAAAGTGCACTTCTAGTCTCTGCAGGTAGCATAGTAGCATTTGGTAAGTGTTCTGCAAAGTGCTTATTTTTTGCAAACTCAGTCCAGGGTGTCTTGAAGTCCAGGCATTTTGCTTCTTCATCTCTTTTAATGAACAGGTAATCATAGCTAAAGGAATTTTTTCTCCTAGAAAAAAGCAATGAAATAGGAGGGAAAGTAGAATTAATTAATGCCATAAGATCATGTTCATGGAGACTGTGATGTGAGCTTCAGGATGAGGCTGAAAATAAGGAACAGGTGTCAGGGAGAAATAAGCCAATAGAAACTTCTAAAGTGTTTAGTCCTCCTAATAAATAAAATATTTGGGCATCTTAAAATATCAAGTGTATGAATTTTGCTTTGTATTTTGCATATACTCTTCGTTTTTTTTCCAATATAAAGGTTTTTAAAAATTGATAATGAGAGAGTAGGATCTTATTTGTGGTGCTGAGTGTAGTGGCAGATGAAAGTAACAGTATTGGTAACAGAAACTGTGTCTTATCCACAGGGTATTTCATTTATGATTTCTTTATTGGACATGAATTAAACCCTCGTATTGGCAGTTTTGACCTCAAATACTTCTGTGAGTTGCGTCCAGGATTAATTGGCTGGGTGAGTCAGTAATCCTAGTTATTTTATTTGCTTAAATATTACACAGAGATCTTGGGTTTTTTATGTATAGTTGGTGTTAAGGATTTTATATATATTTATAAATGAGGAGGGGGGGAAAGGACTGAAAAACATTTACACATTGCCAGACTTAATGACCATTTTTATTCACTTTAGGGAAATTTCTAGCTTCTTTGCTTTGTGGGAAATGAAAACCCTTCTTTAAATATTCATATATTGAGGTTATATGGCTTCAGAAATGTGGTTACTTGCAAACTGTAGCTTTTTTTTTTTTTTTAAAACTCAAACATTGTTCAAAAATATCTGTGTTAGTGTCCTATAATGTAACTGAAAAGACCACTTGGAACAAGGAAATATTTAAATAAAATATTTTCTGGACTAGGTTGTTATAAACTTGGCAATGCTCTTGGCTGAGATGAAGATACACAATCTAAGTATGCCGTCCCTGTCAATGATACTTGTGAACAGCTTTCAGCTTCTGTATGTGGTGGATGCTCTTTGGAACGAGGTAAATGACAGTCTTGTTAAACTGTGTTAGCATTTCTAAGTACAGTGTCAAATGAAGGAGGCTTTTAAAATTCTAAATTCCTTCCTCCTTGCTTTTAGGAAGCTGTTTTGACTACAATGGATATTACCCATGATGGATTTGGATTCATGCTGGCATTTGGAGATTTGGTGTGGGTTCCATTTGTCTACAGTCTGCAGGCCTTCTATTTAGTGGGTCATCCTACTGTGATTTCTTGGCCGGTTGCTGCCGCAATTACTGTTATGAACTGTAAGTTACAGTAAATGTTATTGTTACTGTTAGTTACAACCTAGTACTGATTTCGTTTGGAGGTGTGAGGTGGAGCTTTAGCTCGGAGGGCAGTGATCATATTTTCTATATTAGAGCTGGTGGAAGCATGTGCCTTGCTACTGTTTAATGTAAAGAATGTATTTATTAAATGAAGGGTAGATGAGACTGAACACCTAACTGTTCTGTTGAGAGGCATCTTTAGGTGGACGCTCTCTGGAGTTAAGTGACTTGAAATGTTTTGAATTTGACTTTGAAACATACCTGTTAATCTGAATGACTGTAAATGACTCAAAAAAGAAGTCAGTGCTTTGTTGGCTGTGCTTTACTTTTTCCCTAGGTTCAGTGTTTGCATCTCCTTCCCTGATGCCCAAGTTACATACACATGTCAAAGGAAAACATCTTTTTTCTAGCCGAGTGCTTTGAGAAAGGATCTTGCTTTGAGAAATGATCTTGGGTCTCCTCTTTAGGCGACCTTAAGTTTGCACCAACATAGCCTTGTAATTTGTCCCTTTTACCTGAATAGTAAACCTAAAAAACCCGCCTGTTTTTTGTAGACATGGCAAAGAATTTAAGCACTTGGAAAAAAAGAAAAGGGGTACAACTTAAGATGTGCAATACTGAGAAATACAACAGCATTTTTTCATCTTCAGTTAATGTTTTTTCTTGGGTTTTTATTTTTTTTTTCTTTTAAGAACGTCATTATTTGAAATATGTTGTGATCATCTTTTCTCAGTACAGCCTTGGTAAAAGCAAATTTAACCTGCTGTGTGAAGATGGTGGGGGAAATTAATTTCAAAATCAGATAGTTCATTGTCTGATTCTTTTATTGCTGTGAACTTGTAAATACTTGGTCAGTTTACAGAGTAGGCACTGTAGCAAAATACTGGGCTGCTAAAAAAGCTGTTATTTTACAAAGTGCAGCACATCACCTTTATGTGAATTTCACACTCAGTGTTACATTAATAAACTATATCAGATACAAATGTAAAAAATAGATGTGAAAATAAAGCTTCTCCAAAATCTTATAAAAGTTAGTAAGCTGTAAGAGCAGTTTTCCGATGGCATTTCTGTCTTGTTAGAATTCTGTGAAGAAAATTCTGGGAGAAAATATCAGTTGCATCTCTGAGGAAAAGGCTGAAGTGATAAGAGTGAGTTCTTTTGTTGAAGCAAAGAGAAGTGGAAAGTACTGAAAATGCAAAATAAATCATATTTCTTTTCAGGTATTGGGTATTACATATTCCGTAGTGCAAATTCTCAGAAAAATAATTTCCGAAGGAATCCCGCAGATCCCAAATTGGCCAGTAAGTACATTTCTTATTCAGTTGCTATACAATGTGTCTTTGTGGTATTTAAATATATATTTCAGTCGTTGTATTGACTACAATACTCTATTCACAGATCTGAAATTTATACCCACTGCAACTGGAAAAGGGCTTCTTGTCACGGGTTGGTGGGGTTTTGTTCGTCACCCTAATTATCTCGGTGATATCATCATGGCTCTAGCATGGTCCCTACCCTGTGGTAAGTTTCTGAAAGTAAAGTGGATTTTATAAAAAATGATTTTATGTTTTGGGATCTGGCTGGATTTGAAATGTAAAGTGATAATTATTTGGGATACTAAACCCTATAACTCACTGAACGGCCAATTTCTGTGTCATAAGTTTAATGCAACGCCTGTTTTCTCTTTCATCTTCCCCTTTCTATCTTGCTGTACATTTGACATACTATAGATTTTACTTGCATTTCTAACACTTTATCATTCAATAACGATGGGACTTGCTTCCTAATTAGTTGTTCCTTAAATTTTTTAGGCTAATGGGTGTGCTATAGTGTTCTCAAATGAAGTTCCCCAAAAGTGGGAGTTTGCTTGTACACCAGGGACTACCACATGTAAGGATGACTAAGCAAAATACATTAAAAAAAAAAAGTCATCAGACACAAAGGAGTGAAATTCTGTCTCAATTTTGGTTAGTGAATACACACTCTTCCTTGCACTGGGAACCCCAGAGCTGGGCACAGCACTCCAGGTGGGATCTCAGGACACCAGAGCAGTGGGGTAGAATCAGCTCTCTCGACCTGCTGGGCACACTTCTCTTGCTGCAGCCCAGAATACTTGGTTTTCTGGGCTGCAGTCACACATTTCTGGGTAATTTTCCAGTTTTTTCCACCTACAAGTCAAATACCGTGGTCTGAGCAAAGCTGGACTCACGTCTACAGCAAAAACAGAGAAAACCTTGTGTGGGGCAGTTCAGTGCTGCAGAGGTTTAACTAGAAAAAATGTGGGTTTGATAAGCTTTGCATGCATTGAGAGTGAAGTTGGTAGATTTTGTGACTTTAAATTTTAAGGATGACTTCTTGTGGATTTGTGGGTCTTTTCCTGTCTGCATGTAAACATGTCACACAACTGTCCTGTTGAGTGTTTGATGCTTTAGGAATATAAGATGCTTCAGTCTTTAACAAGTGTGTGTCACCAGCTTAATACATGTTAATAGCTAACATCTCTGGATTTTTTTTTTTTTTTCTGTGTCTAAATTGAATTTCTCACTTTACTTTACAGGTTTTAACCACATTTTGCCGTATTTCTACGTGATATATTTCATCTGCTTGCTTGTTCATCGAGAAGCTCGTGATGAACATCATTGTAAGCAAAAATATGGCTTGGCATGGGAAAGGTATTGCCAGCGTGTACCATACCGCATATTTCCTTACATCTACTAGAGCACTCCTGGTTCCTGATTGGAAAGTTCCTTCTAAAGTTAGTTTCTTTGCAGATAAAATATACCTCTTACCTTTGCACTTGGTCATTTGTCATTTAGGCTTTTAAGAAAAAAAAAAAAAAAGACCAAACTTTGGAGTGCATCAAAGGTATTTACAAGTAAGCTTAAATACATGAGTTATGTGAACTGACTGGCTGTGACTTCAATTCTTAAAATATTGTGAATTTTAAAAACTCTTGGAGCCCTAATTTTTCAAGCTAAATTTTATCTAGAATTCCGAGTTTACATTTTTTTTTTATTGCGTTTAATTAAGCACTGTGATGTAAAGTATATTATTTTCTTAATACAATAAATGCTGAAATTCCATCCAGTTCATTTTTTGGTGTTACTTGTACCATCTGACTTCAGATGTCCAATTTAGTTGCCTGAATTGGAGGAGCAGCAGGGTGTTTTTGGTCAGTGAGCTGGCAGCAGAGGATTTGACCCACATGAGGGGCCTGCAGCCCAGGGCCTGGAGCTGGCACAGCTCAGCTAGGTGGTTGTTCCCCTCCTGGCTTTTCATTAATTGGATTTTTTTTGGTCAGGGAGGCTCAGGTGACCACTCCTGCCCTGCACCTGCAGGAGGGACTGAGGGATATAGAACTGGGAGAAGGGAAGGGGCACAGCTGTCCCCTCCTCCCGTCCCATTCTTGAGGCAGTTTCAGCACAGACCAAGGGGAACTCTGAAGCTGCTGCCTGGCAGTGCCCCTGGCCCTGGATTTAAACCATGCTTCTGGCTCAGACTCCTGAAAGTAGATGATACAAACACTTGCTTTGGCTGTGGGCAGAGCTGTGGAAGTGAGCAGTGAACCCTCATGCTGCCTCTAGCATTGAACAGGGGGTAGCAAAAGTGTGCAGTGAATGCACATTAGACAGAAAAGGATCAAATGACCACAGTCAGCTTATTCTGATCTTTGTAAATTATGTCTTAATGTACCATAGCGTTTACCAAGTGTGTATAATAAAGCCTCCACGTTTTTTCTGTACAGTGTTTGGGTTTGAAAATGCAACAGCTTTTTTAGAAACAGAAGAAATCAGTAACTAAGCCAATTTCCAGTAATTTTAAAAAAAATGTTCATTGAAAAAAGGTTTTTGTAAATTAATGTTGTAGTTCTTGAAACAATTGAAATGTTCATTTAAATATTTGTATTGACAGATATGCTATGAAAATATAGGAATTGCTCCTCAATCCAAAGTTGTTGTTTTTTTTTTAATTTGGCATTGCTACCTCATATGTAGGTGTTGCCTTTTGTACTGTTGCAGATAGAGAAATAGCTATTTTTTTGCTATTGCTATTTAAAACAACATTTTTTACATGAGCCTGTGGTTAAACTCAACCACTTTCTAATATATTTTTGTATATATTTGACTTTTTGACTAATGTATGTGTTCTGGTCACTAGTTGTGTTCTTTGTCTAACTGGCTGTAAATGAGATGCCCTTCTGGTAATTTACTTCATAAGTAGAATAATTTTACTGAAATACTCTTACATTAATTAAGTAGCTTCTATTCTATTGTCACAAGTAAGAGCTTTTCACATACTTCGCACGTGAGGTTTATAGCACAAATTGCCCTAAAAAGCATATTAGAATATTAAATATGGTGCAGGTTCCTCTGCACTTGCTTGCAGGATTGTTCCGAATAAATTGGAATGTTATTTATCAGTTTTTTTTTTTTAATTCTTCTAAAATATTGATGTAATTGAAATCTAGCATGTGATTTCTTTTAAAAATGAAATAACCCTCTATTTTGTACATGGGCATTTTTTAAAGATAATTGTACAATTGAACTGTATATAATGTAGCTTGATTGTTGGTGTTGTAAGGAAAATGTTTTAAGACAAGTACTTTGCTTGCTGGCAGCAAATAGCAGTGCCTGTAACTACTCTAAAGAATTTACTCCTGTGAAGTAGCAGATTAAACTGGGATGCTTTTTTCAATCATTTCTGAATGAATTTATGGGAAATAGAGAAATCATTAAATGGCACTGGTTTGCAGGTGGTGTTTTAAAATGTACTGAAGCAAGTGGGGGCAGTTCAACTTCTCAGTCTTTAAACTCAGAGATGCTCCTGCTGTCCCAGTTTTATCTGTTGCCATGCAAGTTGTTTAAAATGCCATTTGGAGCCCTTGTCTTTCAGAAATGGATCATGACCAATGACAACTTCAGTTTATTTACATGTTGAATTTTATGTGAATTTGATTTTGAAGTAACTGGTTTTAATACAAACAAGCCTTTGAACTAAAATAAAGGTTTTGCTTAAAATTAAGTAGTGTTTTTTTTCCCCAGTTGATATTGATGTCTGATAAAAATGGCATTGATTATCTTATTAAGTAGAGGTGCGAGTTTGCTGAAGTTCCTTCTGTACCTGTGGTTGTGGGCTGAGTGTTACAATCTCATGTCTGGTGCTTCCCTTAGCCTGCCTAAGAATTTCAAGGAAAGAAGGTCTCTCCATTTCTCCCTTTTTCTTCTGCTCTCTTTGTGCAAAAGCTGACAGGTCCACCCTCAGCCTGGGACCACTTTTGTTCCTTGAATCAGCCCTGTCTTCGAACAGCTCCTTTCTCATCTGTCCAGCAAGATGGGTAGGGCTGATACATCACCCCTTTTTGTTCCCCCTTCTGCAACTCAAAACCAAAATTAATTTCAGCTGTAAAAATACAGAATTAACACTCAATTTCCCTATATTATGTTGTATTTTCCCCTACAGCTTCTATTAGAAGTCAAAACCAAGCAACAAGTTTTGGGATACAGCCTAAGGGTTGGTGCACAGGAATTAAATGTTGTGTTAGCTTGACCTAATGTGAACAAGCCTGTAGTGGAAATAAAATCCATAACTAAAGGAACAGGAATGATAGTTTTGCTTACAGAAAGTTACTTACCATAGGTAATAAAAATGTTTGCTTAAATTACATTTACCACAGCTCATTAAAACCTTACCAGAAGCACAGTTCTTGCCTCTTGTGGAGTGAAAGCTGCTTTGGGGAGTGGGTGTAAAACTTCTCTGGTGTGTAGATGGAGAACATACTGCACTGTCTGTACAGAACTGTTTTCTGCTGGGGGAGTTCCCTAAAATTGGAAGAAAATACTTTGATAGAGCTTTTGCATTTTTAATATTTAAAAAGAAATCTTAACTTTTCAAAAAAAAATTTGAATCTTTTTTTAAAATGTCTCTTCTACCTTTTTGCATATAAAAAATGGAAGCAGTAATGATGTTATGGAATATCATGAGAAAAATATTTTGTGCCCCATCATGGGAGTGGAAAAGCCTTTTGAATTAAAAACTGAAGTTGCCAAACTGAAATAGCACTCCAGCTGCTTTTTTGGGGAGGAAAGTTGTATTCCTGTCATGTCAGCATACCATCCCTCTTTCTCCTCAGAACACTGCCCTGTGCTGCAGCCAAATGTTTCAAGTAATTTGCCTTTTGTACCTGGAGGCAGTTTGTTCCCCTGCCATCTGAACAGGGATAGGGAATGATGATCCGTTTGCAGTCACAGGCAGGTGGATTTCAGCAAAACCTTGTTATGTCTTTCCCAGAGTGGCATATCAAATTGCAGACGCTTGGTGGAGCAGGGGATTTACTTGTTGCTTGTTGCTGCACACTGTGTGTTCACAAGTAACAGCAGCTGCCTTGCTGCTGGAAGAGCAGATTTTTTTCCACTGCAGCTGCTGGTTTCTCTGCTTGTCCTCTGCATAAAGGATTGCAGGAGAGCAGTGGTTTCATGAGTCCACATCCTCTTCAGTTCCCTCCTCCCCCTCTGCCGAAGAAGGAAAGCTGCACATGCAGCAGCAGTGCCATAACGAACAGCTGCTGGACCGTAAGCCCAGCCTGGGGACCTGTGAAATGCAAATGGAGATGACTTGCAATTGAAAATTTTGAAAGCAGAGTATTTGAAGGGGAATTTTGAGGCAGTAATATTTCGCCCATGAAATACTTCATGTGGAAGATGCAGATGCTGAGAAAATTTCACTTGGTCCACACAACATCTCTACAAAATGTCTTTGCAGATGCTCAGGAGAAATATTTAATGGTGATTCTAAGGGTGAGGAACATGACTGATCATATATAGATCAGTGGAAACATGCTCTGACATGCAAATGGAGAGATACACACAGTGCCTTCCTCCCTCTACACAACCCTGAGGCTTGGACTGCATACACATTTCTGCAGTGTACACATTTCTCCCCAGGAGTCTTCCTTACACTGCTTGTATTCCCTGTTGGAGCCATGTATCCTTGCTCCTGTATTTCAAACTGCAGAAATTTTAAGTATTAATGAACTGACCAGAAAGAAGATACACCTAAAGCTTAACATTAGATGAAGTGAATTCCTGTGAAAAGTACTGTAATACATGGTAGATCCCTAGCGATATGAGTGGGAATTAACATGCAGAGAAAGGGAAAATAGTTGAACTCGAAGCCACATAAAAATTCAAACCCGTTTGCTTTTGGCAACACAGCTTTAAAAAACCACATACTGTAACTATCAGTAGAAAAGCCTGGCAAGAGAGATGATGCTCATGCAAAGCTGTTCAAGTAGAATGATGATATAAAGAACCAAAGCAGAACTATTTCATGCTCTTTTCTACTTGTGTTTTTATAATCCTGTGAAGACTCTGAAAGCAAACTGATACTATAGACAAAAGGTGGACATGGGAATCATGCAGAAATCTCTGCATGTGTTTATATCTGCTTATCACAGCCTGCAGGGAATGGAAATTTGCCAGGCTAAAAATTCTGTTTCCACCAAAATAAACCTTTAAGTTTTTTGTGAGGACTTGACAGCTTATTGAAGCTGTACTGTACAATTGTACAGTACAGCTTACAAAATTATGGTCTTGTTAACCACCACTTGTGGAAGTCTATTGTACAGATTTCAGGTCTTGTCAGCCACCACCTTTGGAGTCTCACTAGTGGGCACCAGCCCAGTGTGACTCCACAATAAAGCCCAAGAGTTCCCTGCCCCATGGTCTGGTGTCTTTGCTCAGCCTGAGGAGAATTTGTAATGAATCTCATGACATGGGTCATGACATGTGTCCCTCCCTCCACCCTCTTCCTTTCTTAAACCAATGAAACCAAGAAAAACTAGATGTCCTGGTTCTGACCAGGACAGGTTTAATTGTCTGCAGGAGCTGAGAGGGGACTAAGGCGTGGAGGTTATTCTCTATCACCTCCTGTCCTTGCTGGAGGCAGGGGAAAGGGGCTCTCTTCCAGCCAGGAGGGGTTCCTTCCAGTCAAAAAAACATGGTGGAGGGAGGGCTCCCGTATTTTCTGTTATTGGGGCTTGTTTTCCTGTGGATTTTTTCTTCTACTGTCTGGCATTAGTATTATTGCTGCTCCTGTTCCTTTTCTTATCTCATTGCTGTTTCCAGTAAATTCTTCTCTCAGCCTGTGACCTTTGCCTTTTGTGCCTCCAATTCTCCAATCTGCTGCAGCAGGGAGGGGGAGGGGAAAAGGGAGGGAGTGAGCGAGCAGGGGTTTGGAGTTTCAGTGGGAACACTAAATTGGGGAGTACCATTCCTAAAGCATGCTGTTCAACAAGAAACTATTTGTTGTGCAGCTGGATCCCTGTGCTAGGTGAAGGTTTCCTCTCTCAAAACTGCCTGGTGCCTTTTCCCCAGGAAAAGTCTTGCCTAGGAGAAACTCTCCTTTTCCAGGACAAGGATTCTTAAGAGAAATGGATGCACATGGCAAAGTCTATTCCAGGATAGCCACAGTTCTTCAAAGCTTTCTGTGTACCGGATGGGTGATTTCCAGGACCAACTCCTGGGCCCACTGGCACTGAGGTTCCTGACAGCTGTATTTCTGGGAGGTGATCCCTGATCACCCCCCACAGGCCCAGCAGCACAGACAGTCCCACTGGGCTGCATTTGAGCAGCTGCTCCCCTGGGCTGGGGGCAAAGGCTGTGCCTGCATCCCTGTCCTTCTCTTCTCCCTTTAGGGGCCTGCTCAGGATCACAAGCTGTTTGCCCTGGATGTGCCCATGGGGACTGCAGACAGAGTCCTCTTGGTGCACACCAGCCAAGCTGTGGGAGTATCTCTGGCATGCCTGCTGTGCCAGCTTTCAATCCCCAAGGTGCTGGAATTAAAGCAGGTCCAAGGGGAAGGACAGCTTTTGATGTTGTGTGTCTGCTTTAATTGCAATGCCATGACTAAAGCAGAAGTGATTAAGAATCTGAGGCTGTGTTTGTGGA